CTCTAGCTAAGATATACAAACTTTGGCTTTACACTTTCTCTAGCTAAGATATACAAACTTTGGCTTTACACTTTCTCTAGCTAAGATATACAAAAAAATAATGCACTGCAGATGTTCCTGATTATTAACAAGTTTGTACGTGAAATCAAATCATAAGTAACCCTCCTGGTACTTAGTACTTTAGTTTTTGGTTTGCATTCAGTTTACCAACAGAAGCAGTAGAAACAGAAACCTAGAAAATGTTTGTTCCAACCATCAATTTGTTGTTCTTCACTATCACCATCATTTAACGAGTTTTTCTGTTTGTTTACTTCTGAGCCATCACTCAAAGAAACAAGAGATTATTTTCTGCCAATATTTAATATCCATTCATCCATGTTTTTGACAAACTAGTAAATGTACAATAACATCCAAAACTTGAAACTAACAAGCTGATAAATATGTAAAACAAAATCTCATGATATCTTGGACATCCAATCAATAGTCATATTACTTTTGGCATGGAAAGTAGTCATGACTACAGCCTACACTCATATCACTGTTTTATAAACTCTAATATGATAATTAGAGCTTATAGTTTATCATATCTAGTGCATCTCTGTGCCCTATTTAAAAGAAGGGTATTGCTGCCTGAGTTTTTGAATGCTTCTAATAAAATTTAATTTTTAAATGTTGCACTTGTGATGTGTAAACAAAGTATATGGCTATTTTATTCTGAATTAATAAAATATCTTTTTTACATGTGGCAAAATTAACAAACATACAAGGATAAAACAATAAATACAATGAAGGTTAGTCAAGTAATTGGGGGAATGAAATAGTAATTAAACAGGATCAGAGAATACCGATCAGCATCGACACTGTCAACTCGGTTCCACCTATAAAATAAGACAAAACAATCAGTGGTTTGTAAAGTAACTACCTCATTTCACAATTTTATAGATTTCAAGTTATTGTCAGTAAACAGTGAGAAGCAGTGTTGGGACAACCACCAGCCACTACCCAGAAAAACAAGTGTATTAGACTTCCTAGGCCTGGAATGAAAAATTGTTTACCCAGTTGTACTTGAGTATACAAGAGGTTAGTTCCAAACTGAAAAGTAAAAAGATAGACAGTCAAATACAAAATGTTTCAGATGTGTAGTCTCTGTTTCTATTTACTTTCCAGTATGAAATTAACCTCTATGTATTCCTTTTACAGCCTGTGTGCTCACATAGCTCCCCACTCAAATCTATTTGTGTAAAATACCTTACATGCAATTTTCCCATGTTAATTGTTGTTACTATATTACATAATGGTAGTTATATTTGTACCATCACTTTTAAAACTTCTTTATTTTTAGATTGGTGCTTTCAGATCTAACTCGTATGCTTCTACAGTCATGGTTGTACATACTCCTACCAACTCTCCACAGTTTGCACCACAGGTATAGGACCATATACTCCAAATGGCCCGTTAAGTCTTCAACAGACATATATATTGCTAGTTCGCGGAGTTGAACTACTGCTTTATATTTCGACAGTGTTTATAAAGTCACTTATGATTTTCTTTTTGTTTCACTAATTTTTCTGACCTTGTCCTATTCTGTAAGTTAACTGACCTTCTCAAACTTGTCTTCTAGCATTTTTTTGTCTTTCTCCTCTCCTTGAAGTTTGCCTTGTAGTTCAACAAGCTTAGCTTGCATCTGTTTGAGAGAATAATAATAATAATTTATAGAATAAAAATTCAGTCTAACAATAAAAAGCTAATTTAAAGTAATATCACAACTTGTATGTGCCTTTACTTCACTGGACTGTTTTTTCTGACACATTAGTTTTGACAGAATACTAAAAGGATAACTTACATACACACTGAATTTTTATGGGTGAAACTTAGCAAAAGAAAAAAAAATTCACTTGTTTGATTTATTGATAATAAACTAAAAACATTTCAACAGAGATGAAAATAGATCAGGCTGAATAAACCTGGGTGTTATTCACAAGAACAGTAGAGTCCACAATCAGTGCCACAGTCCAGAAGGAGGGGATGGGTGGGTTACAATGGTTTAACTGAAAATATAGTGTCTTTTTAACTTAATATTTAGATATTCATGCAGAATTAACATTGTGTATCTTCTATATTTGTGCACAGTCTTTATGCCACATTTTCCACCTTTCCATTGATATTTTTCAATTCAAGAGTCACTACTTGGTTGAACCACAACCAGCAGAATTTTATCTTGGAACCAATGTCAATATTCCTCACCTTGTGCGCATTTTCATCGTCAACTTTCGGCAGAGATTTCATCTTTAAACAAATGCAACAAAAACACAATTGGTAGCTCTAATATAGCACTGATAGCTGAGCCTGATGTAGAAAGACTGTTGGGATTACAGTGTTGTTCCTACAGGATGCATTTTTTTCATTCAGTTCCTTCGATCTTGAAATTGAAGATGACAATTTACTGCTGATCAGTGGTTTCCCATGTTTTTTTAGATATGCTAGTGGTCATTTACAAGATCAATGCAAATCTGATCGATAAAAATAACTTATTAATGAAATTTTCTCTTGTATGCCATGGAAGACCTTAGTTAGGGGTTCCAAAAGTCAACATTGAAAGTCTTTTGACCAATGGAAATTTTGCAAAACTAAATATGAATATAGATGGATGCTTTTGTTGTTGTTGTTTTATTTGTGTGTTTAACAGCCTTAACTACACTACATATTTGAATGGCTATAGGAAGACAAAAACACATTCATGCTTAAGTATCAGGAACTCACTCACCAAGAAGCACAAGTTGAAAACTAAAAAATATTTTGTCTTTGCATGATTTATATCTATCAAAATAACTATTATAAGCCATGCTAGAACTAAATAAAGCAACCCAAACTCAGAAAAACTACACTGTTGTAAATACATATACATACAATTTTTTCCATACCTCTGCAAAGGCCTGAAAGAAACAGAATAACTACCTTAAAATCTTCAAAACTAGTTCATAACACTTTATAACAGATGTTCGTATCAAAGAAAAGTTTCATAAATTCAAATTTCAGAATTAAATTATCACTGTACACACAATTAACTTTCAGCTGTTTTGCTTAACTATCTGAAATATGAGACTTTTATGAAAAAATATAAATTTTTTTGCAATGTTTAAGAGAAATAGATTAAAATACATGTTGAGTTTTGTAAAAGTTCAGAAGCAAAGCATTATATAGTTAGTAGCTATAAGTTATAGGTCTTAATTATGTTAATAAAAATTGCCACACACACACAGAGCTATAGAGAAGGTTTTAAAATTGATAATTGTTTCTATAGGTTATATAGAAACATTTCATAAGCTTATGGAAAATCATAAAATATATAGTATGTAATTCTACAAGTAATTAAATAGACAAAATTCCATCAGCAGTGAGACACTGTTAAACAGTGTCATTGTTCACTGGTTTTGTTTGTTCTTAGAACAATTATTAAATATGCACTGTGATTAAAGTCCTTTGTTTCTATGCATCATTATACAATAATCAACAATGCCAATATGGAATGCTCTGTTATAAGTGTTGTGATCAAAGTTCATTGTTTCTGTGCATTGTAGTGACATATTCAACAATGCCAATATTGAATGCATTGTAATCAAAACTGAAGATTGTTAAATCATGATTTAAATTCATCAGAATTCAAGCTTTTCTTTTTGCTCACCTCTTCAATTCCTTGAAGTTGCAATAAGTTGGTTTCTAAAGTTACTTTTTCTCCAGCAAGTTCCTCCTTCTCCTTCAACGCCTGTCATTTATTTAAAAAAATATATATAATATTTATAGAAATCTGTTTAAACTGCAATTTCAACTTAGAGGAAAGGAATAGTTTCTCATGAGGAATTATATATTTAGTGTATACATTTGAAAAATTCACATTTACAAATTCAACTATAAACTGTTTGATTCCTTATTAATTATTATGATTATGATTTATGGTCATTCCTTAAAATCTGATTTGTGTTTATCTGAGAACATTGTGATTTTTCTGATTACACAGGTCTGTGAATTTAAACTTCATAAAACTTTATTTGATTTTAATAACAGATTTTCCATAATTCAGCTACACAGATTTGGAAAATAATATTATTTTTTTTCTATTGCATAAGGATTTTTTTTACAAATTGGGAAGAAGAAAAAAACTCGTACATCAAATTATCATTTCGTTTACCACAATGAACATTTTTTATTGTTATGTTTGTTAACAAAAATACAAACAAACTGAATAAAAGGGAAGAACATTAATGTCAAACGAACATGCATTCTCATTCATCCCAATTCTTTTAGTGAAGTCTACATCTTTTAGTCTCAAAACTACATGTTGTAGTCTTTCTTTTATGTATTACGTTATGATGTTTTGTGAAAATTCTGTATGTGATAGAGAAAAATGGATATTTTTGGATTCAGCATACAGGAATTACTGTAGAATAAAAACATTTCAAGACAATAAAACCATTGCAGGCCTGTGTTATGGCTTTGAGTAATAGCTGTGGAACTCTTCTGCAAAGGTTTAGTCACAAAATACCAGTTACAGCAG